CCCCCCCCCCCCCCCCCCCGTCTTCACGGGGCAAAATCAGGAAGAATAATTTAGTTAAGAAAAGATTATAAATTATTCCCATGTCCAAAATTTTGTCTGGTGGATGAAATATATGAACAATTTGAGTCTAAAAGTGTAGAGAATCCGTAGCTCCAGAGGCTTAAAAACATATTTTTTCCAGACCGTAGCCCCGGCCCTACCAGTTTGCACATAATTTTATAAAATAGCAAATCTCACGCGAAAAATGTCAGAATTATACGATTCAAAAATCAATTTCCTGTAAAAAGATCATGACACTCGGATTTCACGTGTTTGGTTTTTGAAATGAGTATTGTCTATTGAGTCACGAACAACAATGTTACATGGGACATTTCAGACAAACTCCAGATAAACAAAGCTTTGATAAGTGTTCCAACTACATTTTAACCTAAATTAAAATACAAGATATATAGTGTTGGGAAAAGCATTCAGACGTACAAGGTCGACTTGTCTCACGCACTCTTATCGTTTCATCTGCTCTTATTTAGAGCCAAAAAAGGAGGTCTGTGCATGGACTTAAGGAATGCGATGCATAGAGTCAAACATGGACTGTGGTGTTTTTACAAGTATACTATATTTTCGCACTTTGATGTTTTCAACCGTAATACTGTTGTCACCAATACACTTTAATTATACTAAGTAGATTATAGTAAATATACTATAGTAAATTATACTACGAGTTATTAAAATGAAAATATTGTCACCTTGTACAATCCTCTAATTACGTAATCCCTTTCTAAATCTTTCCTTTTGGAATTTTTAATCCGTATTTTCATGACCTACAGCATGCATGTTATTGATACTATTTAGTAAGAGAATAATAGACTGTGAACTCGAAGGAATGAATATCACGATTGAAGAATGCGAACGTTCACATCAAGAAGGATCACAAGCCACATGCAACATTTGTCCGGGGGGATGGTCTAAATTATCAGATTTTTTAAATTACGTTTTACTTTACCTAAAATCGGTGTTTGAAATTTAGTGTGGTTTTTGAGGAAGAAGTTTGGGGGGAAATCCAGTGGAAAATTTTTAACATTTGGATCGTTATTTAGACCCAGGAAATGCATCTAAAATTTAGTTTGCGTTCACTTCAAACTTCTTATAAATTACTTCAAAATCAACTTAGGTCACCTACAAATTTACCCAGAATTACTTACTGAAGAAATATGGCGGGGGAGGGGGTTACACGCACACACACACCTGGTCGATCGTTACGGCCCTGTTTATGACCCCCCCCCCCATGCTGTATTATGTAACATTGCACTGCTTATTTTGCAGTGCACTGTGTGTATTACCACCCATTCGCCCAGACAAATCTGTCTGATCTGAATTCCACTCACGCGAATCACTAATTTACCGAATCCCATTCCCAGCGGTCAAAATCTAATTTTTTTTCAGTGAAAAAAGGCAAATCCCGGCTCCCACTGATTTTGCCACTCAAAAGTCATGGTACTGCTTATAAATCTCGCGGTATTTCAGGAAAAGAGGGCTAAGAAACAAATACGTTCCAAGAGAGTATGCCTTCCAGTCTTTAAAGGTTCGTTTGCGATTTTCTTCTTCTGATGGATGTGAATGAGTGGATGAGTTATGAATGTTTGGGATGTACGTACCCTCATGTGAACATTCATAACTCATTCACTCGTTCACATCCATCAGAAGACAAAAATCGCACTTATAATAGACAATTCCCATTATAGACTAATTTTAAAATTAGGTAAAGAAACTCAAATAAATCACCACAGCTAGAAAGAGCATACTAAAATTAGTAAAATTACAAAGTTTGGTTGCGAAATGTTGTAAAATGTGGAAAATATAGCCTTGCAAAGTTTGCAAATTTTGTATACTTTTGTATTGCTTGCGGAAATTCCTACCACATTCCTACCACATTTAGGCCGAAAATGTCGCACGCAATACAAAAGTATACAAAATTTGCAAACTTTGCAAGGCTATATTTTCCACATTTTACAACATTTCGCAACCAAACTTTGTAATTTTACTAATTTTAGTATGCTCTTTCTAGCTGTGGTGATTTATTTGCATCTCCTTGCCTAGTTTTAAAATTAGTCTATAATGGGAATTGTCTATTGCAAGTGTAAACGGGCCTGAAGAGCGCTGCACGGCTGCACCAGAATCGAAGTGGCGCTGGTTCGATGCTGCCGGAGGGCCTAAGTTACATTTTTCGTAACTGCCCTGGTTCAGCCTAATAAATGTATAAAAATTCACACTCGGAATTTCTGTCTACAAAACCCTTGTAACGTTTACCTCTCGTCACTTTCTGACGCAGGAAATAGCAGTCTGAAGACCATAAAAACACAACATTTTGGATGGGAACATGCTGATAAATTACACGATGATCCGCCGACCCCATTCTGTGTAGCTGTGTATACTGGCCTCGCTGCTAATAACCTCCAGATTTGTAATCGTCTGAACTGGGCAGCTCTGCTCGTGTAAAACATGGCCTAAAGTTTAATTTCGTCAGCACGTCTTACATAATAAATTTGTAAAGGACTTTGTTGTTGCGCTATTACGCTTAATCCTATTTGCTGACTTTATAAGACAATAGATACGTATATTAAGAACTTTGATATTTTGCTGTGGGCAGTACAATAGCTGTTGAGGATTGTTATTGGCAGCGCGAGTCCTGAAAGGGGAAGAATTAAACTTGAAAACGAATGATTTTTATCACTTCATGAGAACATGCATGGCTGTAAATTTGTATTTACAAAACAGGTGTTATTTCGGCTTACCTGAGCTAGTAGTTAGACACAGCCCTTTATTTATCCCAGAGCAGTTTCGTCCTATCGTTAAACTTTGGTATATCTTGTCGAGATATCTGGGTACTGGATCGCATCGTTGGAAAGACGTACTTTCCATGGAATTTGAGAATAGTAAAAGAACTATGGTCATAGACAAGCTGTTAATATTCATTGCGTGTTGTTTTCGAGATCAAAACCAGCTTATATTCTAAATAAAAGACAACAGGCTATATAATTTGCGATTCTCTTCATAGATTATATCACTCATCATTGCGTGGAATTATCCGCGCAAATGCGGTACTTACCCACCAAGTTGTTTTTCCTATGTTTGTTTTTCGGTCTCCCAAAGTAATTTAAAGCAAGAACTCTGCTAATCTGTCAGTTGGAACAAGATATGGATTTAGCTGGTTTAACCTTGAGGACCCGCTTAAACAAATGTGCCAAATTTTAAGCATACGCTAGCTCTGCGAACAATACTGATTCCAAATCATCGGTGAAGTTTGAAGCATACAACGTCGACATACCTAATTGTCCGCTTTTGGTACCATGTTGTGATTAGGTAGAAATAAATCGTGTTGTACCATGGGAATACCTTCACATAATCCTGTTTTTTTATAACGAGATATATTTTGTGCGAGAAAGATTTAATTGCGATACCTATTTTTTCTCACGAACTTTTTAATATGCCGACAGATTTATATTGAACTGCTGCCAGTTCTTATTTCTCAACTATAAATTATACAATCATTCCTCGTTTGATTTTTTCTTCATAAATGCGGGCTATTCGTGAATCACTGTAATACTTCAATGAAAATTGGCGTACACGCGCCTAATGCTTTCCGGGGGGGGGGGGAGTTGGAAGTTTGCCCGAATTTTTATGGAGGATTGTAGCTGATGAAATAACCTGAATTTAACCTATTTTCTGATAAAACTGCCCGAGTATTCTTCGAATACTCTCCTGTTTCGTACGCCTACGTCAATGAATATAAAATCTAAATTGACTCCAAAGTTCACGATAAATTTTGCGCGTAATTACAAGTTATTTGATATTAGGATATGTAGACATAATATATTTTGACTTTTATGGATTAACCTCGGATGTAATGACCGGAATCCAGGAAATTACTTTGCCAAAAAGAAGCTAGGAATTCAGATTTTGTGTGTGTTACCATGCGTGCATGGGTATTTGCCTATTTCCTGGAGATCTGAACTCCTGCGCGCAGAATTTCAAAACAAAGGATTCAATAAATGTTAAGGGACCGGTCATAAAGTAACTGCTAGGGTGGGCGGGTGGGAAAAATAGGTTTTCAGAAAAAACAAACCGGTGACCCATCCTGAGAACCTAGAAAAAATTTCAAAGCCCATCATAGGTGCATGAATATATACAGACGACTTTCTCATAACTTTATAGAACAAATTAATTGGTTGTTGAGTGCAAACAGGCTATATGTGTTTCATGGCCCATCCAAACTGATGAAAATAATTTCATGTCCATGAAAATAGCAGTCCAGTTAACTTATGATCAGTGGCCCGAGCGCCTATTGGGGACAGGGGGGACTAAACACTAGATTTGGTCGCCATCTTGTTTTGTGAAATATTGCAAGAGTTTTTGCAATAAAACGGTGAGTTTGAGATAGGATTTTTACATGTTTGCTTTGTTTTTTCATTATAAATAGTTTAGGGAATAAATCATTAGTATTTCTGATTTCTTTTATTCAATTTCAGCCAGCGTTTTCTCTGTTCATCGAGCTAAATCTGCCCAAATTATGGTGAGCGCCGAAGGAGCAAACTTGAAAGGATGGCAAGTTTATTTTAACAATGTCACTGTCAAAGGACGAAGAAATGTAAGTAAATATATAAATATTCATGTTTATTGCTAAATTATAGTTTGTTTTGCTAACAGCACGGGACTAGTAGGACTCCATTGATGTTTTAATATATTAAAACAATACACAGTGCCGTGGTTTATATTCGTCCAAATATATCGGACACTCAGACTGCAGAGTGTGGCAAGTGCACACCCGAGAAATTTTTCGTTGAACTCCCGTGTACACTTGGAGTAAAAAATGTAAAATACACTCAATTATTTAAACGATGATCGGTTATATAATACAGTAATACACTATTTTTCTACTGCAATTTTTCCTAGTTCCAGGGCACAATGTTTCCCCATGACCGTATTTGTTTAATATAATAAATTAAATTCAGTTTTGCAATTTATGAACAAGAATTACTATATTTCATAACTCCATGCAAACTTGAAAGAATTTTATTATTTTGATTATTATTAAACATCCTTTTTATAAATATGCACACTGCATTTGAGTCTGCACACTTGACATTTTTCATTTGCACACCCGAAATCTCAGTGAAAAAAGCCACATCTGCACTCTGGTCCAGACACAGGGCCAGGACCCAGGCATACATTGTGTAATATATTTAAATTGTATGGATATTTAAGTGTATATAAACTAAGTAAAAACTGAATAAAAATATATACCATACCGGGTGTCAGGGTGTGTTCTGTGCAGGCCTTGAATTTCCCTGAAATCAATCGACGGCAATGGCATTAAAAATTTCCGTAGAACGTAACAGCTGTCTACGGCAATTTTGGCAGTTTCCACGGCATTTTTTCAAAAAGTTTATTCTTACTTCGGATTGTTGACAAGCTAGAAACATGTTTACGTATTTCTTTAAGTGCTTTTTTTCAAAGAAAACTGAGACTAAAATAGTAATTTAAGTATGATTTGATCAACATCTGAATTCAAGTATCAACAATTATTCAAGTATTCAAGTAAGCACAGTGAATAGTATAAAAGTTACACTATACGGCAAAAAATTGCAGCCGTTGCCGCAATAATCAACAGCATTTTGTTCTCCCTCTACGGCGATTGCTGCGATAAAATTCAAGCCCTGGTTCTGTGACTTCTGTCTAATTATATTATTGAGGTTCAGATTTGACTTCCACTACAGCTACCATTAAGGGACCATCAACCAATCAGATGTGTTTGATATATTTGATTAACCAATTAGATGCGTACCTGAGCCAGTTAGTGGTAGCAGTAGTCAAATCTGAACCTCTATATTTATTAGTTCTATTCCAACCACTACAAGCTCAAAATATGTTCAGAATCTGGACTGGAAAGTTTGGAAATTGCACACTCGGAAATTTACTAGTAAATATATAGAAAGCATCAAAATTGGTTGCCCTCAGTATTAGAAAATTTTAAGAGTTTATTTGCTTTAGAAAGGAACAATGTGAAGGGTCTCAAAAAAAAAATGTATTCTATAGTAAGGAAAATGTCCTGTTAATTGTATGAAGTTTTGAAGCATTACAATGAAATTTGCATCAAATTCTGTCTGGCCTTTTAGCGAACATTGTTTCCACTCAGATCTGTGGTCCCTTCTGTTTGTCTTACCCATCATCACCTCAGGGATATTCTTAGCATATTTTGAGCTCATAACAGTTGGAATAGAACTAGTGAATGTTAGACAGAACACACCCAGTATGGTATGTGTATGTATTTTTGTTCAGTTTTTACTTAGTCTATGTACACTTAAATGTCCCGTAGAATTTAAATATATTGTACAAATGTATGCCTAAGCCCCCTATGACTGGATACCAATATTTAGGTGTTATTCGTCTGACAGAAATATTTACCAAAACTGTGGTTGCTTCCTCTTGCCTGAAAAAAATGTGTCTATTTTTGTGTCAAAACATTCAGGAATCTGGAATGTGACCACATAGTCCACATTCCTATGCGTAATATTACAATTTCTCGAGGACCAGTCTGAATGTCACCCTTCCCACAACGTTAATTTCATGACATTAGGAATGTAATCTCATTCCTGCAAGTTTTTTATGTGAAAACATTGCACATTTTTTCAAATGAGAGGAAAATCTACGGTTATTGTAGTATTTTCCTCATTCTTTAAATTAAACATGTTGAAATGATACCAAGTAAACTTCAGCTTTGTATGTGCTACCCCCAGATTTAAATCCAAGAGTGGAATTTCAAGCATAATCCGGAAGTGGCTTTTTAAGCATATAGCATTGTGCATATATATGTAAGAAGTACATGACAAAACACAATCCGAGGATTAGCATCTTGAAACTCAAGATACGGGTCAAAACAGGAGTTTGTCCTGCAAACAACTCATTAGGATTAGGGTGTGGGAAAGGTCAGAAAAAATTATTGTGTGAAAAAATATGAATGATGTACAAACACATGTATTCAATACTAATATTGTGTCGGATTAATCATGGATGTCGTCGGATTAATCATCGTATTTAACAAATTTTCCGGCATCTGGGTTCCGGCCGGATTTGGAGAAAATTCGGCCAGATTTAAATTTCTGTTTTCACCTTAAAAAGTTCACCAAGAATGGGATAAACCATCAATTTGGCAGCTTTAAAGTTTAAAAAAACACTTATATTATTATAAAATATTAAGTTATTAACAAAAAGATGTTTAAAAAAGGTTTAAACACAATCAAAAATCTAAACTGACATTAACTAAAAATAGTAAAAACCATAAACCGTCATTTTGAATACTGATTTATCCCCAATTGTCCCCATTACCGGTTTATCTCAAATCCGGCCAGATTTGAAAATTCCAAATCCGGTGCACCCCTATATGGTACGTTACTTTATCAAATAGTCAGGCTTATCTCTGCAATTTTTACTCTCTGGTAATACCAGACAATGTGACAACAAACAGCTCTGCATGCAGGTTTTAGGTGGCTATTTTTCACATTTTATGTTATTTTTTGCTAAATAGTAACATATTTAATTGTAATGAGGTTTTATAATATCCGATACTGCATAGACCAGTATATTATTGGGACAATTTATAAATATAAAATGTTACATTTCAAATGCAAATAAAACATGTCTGTATTTAGTTCAGTACAAATCTTCTAAAACAAATTGCAAACATCATATTAACAGGAGAATCTTTTGCATGGTATGTAACACACCACGCTCCCGGCAAAACTAATGAATGTACTTTTCCACTTGCTTATGACTATATTCAATTTTTTATTTTTTTCTCAAGTGCAGCGAACAAACTTTAAAAGTATGTTTAGTGCTTTATCTGTAAATTTATGCCAAAATGAAGAGATTTTAGATAGTACGCCAAAGAGAAAATGATGTCTGAAGTTCAGTAAGTTTCGCTTATATTGCTGTATAAATCTGACATCAATTTTACAGCATCAATGATAATTGTGTTTATATTATTTTGTGTTTCTTCTGTTTCTCAGACTATCTAAATTACAAAACAACACTAAAACAAAGTAATTTTGAGACAAACATCAAAAATATTTTAGGTGTTGAACACTTTTCATCACATACACGACATTGAAAAAAATGCCTCTTAATATATCCCATTGCTAGTGAATTGGCAGATGTAACGTCAACCCTGGATTTCCGTTTATTTGCATAGAAACGTAAACAACTACTACTCAAATTCTTTGAATGGAAGGTTTCTAGGTATTATAAAGAAATAAAAAAAAAATCGGGTTGGGATGCGAACCAAGTTACTTTTTACTTGGCCTTTATGTCACATATGTAATTAATAAATATGTTGTTTTATATAGGTTGTGTTTGCTGTATATGGCAGTTGTTTTGCTGTGTGGGCATTGATGAAAATGAGAAAAGGTAGTCCTGCTATTGAACAATCAAAATAGACCTTAAAAACTGATGTTTGTACAATATTCGAGACTTCACAACTCCTTGTTTTGCTAGAGTAAGCTGTTAATAAATATATGGCATTATTTTGTATCTTTTACTTAATTAAATAGTCATTATATATATATATATATATATATATATATATATATATATATATATATATATATATATATATATATATATAATTTGTTATCTTAAAATGTTTCAATTTCTCGCTACTTTAAGTTTCATGCCACTATTTGTGGCAATCTTCAGGCGATTAAATTCAGTTTGTTATAATGGCGTGATCTATAGTTTGCTGACGTGCATGCACCGTCATTATTCGCACGCGCATTCAAAATTTCCCGCCCAAAATTTCTCGCGATGTCGGCATTTTGCGAATATCTCGGGTCTTTTGTTCAGTGTTAAATGCTTGTTTGCATCCATTATGCAAAGTTTTTCTTCTATGCAGAGATTGCAACGCTTTGCACCAGATGAGTATGCGCCTGCCCGCTTCAGAATTGACCATTTTAGGGTGTAATCTTTATTATTACTCTTTAGCCCCCAGATGTACTTTGACAGCTCTGTATCGTTTTTATATCTTTGGAGTTTGAAGGATTTCTTATGATTTCCATATCGTTCTTTGAAAGTAGTCGCCGTCATTCCTATATACTCTTTTATGACACCGTCATCGGGTGATGTAACTTGGGCCTTGTAGATAATGTTTTTAGATTTACAGTTCTTCTTAATAGGGCATTCACTCGGGTTATTACAGTTGCAATTATCTGATGTTGGTGGGGTGGTTGTGGGTTTTGACAGGATGCAATTGTTGTGGCGAGATATAGCACTCTTTACATTAGGCATGCAGCTATAGCTCACTTTGACTGTGTTACGGTTGAATATTTTGTGCAAAGGACTTGTAGGTGGGAAGTGTTTATCGAGAAGCTGTAGGAAATTCCGCGCGATGTTGGTTTTAACGGATTTTGCTGAACCAGATAATGTTTCTTTGGCGCCTTCGTTTCGTAGATGGTGGAGAAGAAGGGCTGTTGGGTGAATATTCCAAAGAAACATTGTAATTGCTGTGTTTAAGTGCGCTTTCGTAGAAAGGTTTGCATTCATCGAAGGATTGTTGGTCAGATGAAAGGGAAGAGATTCGCTTGTTAATTGAGACAGGAATTTCCTTTAGAATGGATGGTGGATGGTTAGATCGGCTGTCAACGTAAAGTGGTTCGTTGTTTGGCTTTCTGTACGGTGCAAATTTTTCATTTTCCAAATTTAGCGTAATATCCAAAAAGTTGACGACTTGACTGTTAACCTGAGCAGTTATCTTCAAACAAATTTGACCGAATATGTCATGTAACATCTTCCTTGCTTTGTTTTCTCATATTTCATAAATAGGGAAAAAACAGCAAAAATATAAGGCTATAGCCTTTGATTTTCGTCCATTTTAGCCTATTTTTCATTTTTCATAAATAGGAAAAAAACAGCAAAAATATAAGGCTAAAGCCTTTGATTTTCGTCCATTTTTAGCCCTCATTTTTCATAAATAGGGAAAAAACAGCAAAAATGTAAGGCTTTAGCCTTTGATTTTCGTCCATTTTAGCCTATTTTTCATAAATAGGGAAAAAACAGCAAAAAAGTAAGGCTTTAGCCTTTGGTTTTCGTCCATTTTAGCCTATTTTTCATTTTTCATAAATAGGGAAAAAACAGCAAAAATGTAAGGCTATAGCCTTTACTTTTCGTCCATTTTTAGCGACTTTTCTCATTTTTCATAAATAGGGAAAAAACAGCAAAAATGTAAGGCTATAGCCTTTACTTTTCGTCCATTTTTAACGACTTTTCTCATTTTTCATAAATAGGGAAAAAACAGCAAAAATGTAAGGCTATAGCTTTTCCTTTTCGTCCATTTTTCGCCTATTTTTCATTTTTCATAAATAGGAAAAAAACAGCAAAAATGTAACGCTATTGCCTTTACTTTTCGTCCATTTTTAGCCTATTTTTCAATTTTTGAAAAAGAGGCAAAAAACAGCAAAAAAGTAAGGCTATATAAAGCCTTTCCTTTTCGTCCATTTTTAACGACTTTTCTCATTTTTCATAAATGGGCAAAAACAGCAATAAAGTAAGGCTAGCCTTTACTTTTCGTCCATTTTTACCCACTTTTCTCATTTTTCATAAATAGGGAAAAAACAGCAAAAATGTAAGGCTTTATTCTTTGATTTTCGTCCATTTTTAGCCTATTTTTCATTTTTCATCAATAGGGAAAAAACAGCAAAAAAGTAAGGCTATAGCCTTTCCTTTTCGTCCATTTTTAGCCTTTTTTCATTTTTCATAAATAGGGAAAAGACAGCAAAAATGTAAGGCTATAGCCTTTACTTTTCGTCCATTTTTAGCCTATTTTTCATTTTTCATAAATAGGGAAAAAACAGCAAAAAAGTAAGGCTCTATCTAGCCTTTACTTTTCGTCCATTTTTAGCTGATTTTTCAATTTTTGAAAAAGAGGGAAAAAACGGCTAAAAAGTATTAGTAGTATCTATTTTCTAATTATTTATTTCTCTGCACAAAAGAAATAGAAGATAGCCCCAAATCGATGGTAACGCGAAATAATTTAGAAACAAATTAGTCTTAGTCTATATTTTTACTATACAAATTATTTTAATTTGTATAAAAAAAATGGAAAACTCGTAAATAACTACACATGTCGTAGTCATAATTAACACTATATTTCCAACGTGTTATAAACCGTACACGTGTGTGTTTGTATGTGTATATATGGCAAAAATGAACAAAAAAACACTTTAATATCAATATATATATAAATCAAAATGTAAATCTATAACTATATCCTTTTATATATTATCTATTTTTCATTATCTATTCTATATGTACTATACTTTATACATTTTTTATATTCTAGCAATACCTGTAAATAGGTCATGCATTTGAATAAATAATAATAATTGCCTTTACTTTTCGTCCATTTTTACCGACTTTTCTCATTTTTCATAAGTGCGCAAAAAAACAGCAAAAAAGTAAGGCTATAGCCTTTACTTTTCGTCCATTTTTAGCTGATTTTTCAATTTTTGAAAGAGGCATAAAACAGCTAGAAAGTTTGGAGAAAAATTTTTTTTCAAAGTTTTGTTGACTAAAAAATTTGGCAAAGAAATTGTTTCGGCTGAGTGCCCCCCGGCCATAAATAATGACCGATCCCTTGTTAAAAAGTGATCTGCTGGTCGAGTGGTAGTCTCCTGGTGTTGCATGAGGAAGAAGTACGGATCGATCCCTGCTGTAGACGAGACCATTTTAATGTCGAGCATCGTTGTTAATTAATTCCACCCGAGACGAGAAAGAGTTAAGTGGAATAAAAAGGAGTTAAAGCATGTGTAGGCGAGATGGTCTAGTGGTAAGGGCAAATTGTTGCATGTGTGTTAAGCCAGGATCGATTCCTGCTGTAGTCAAAAAGCATTTTAATGTTAGGCATCGCTGTTAGTTAATTCCACCCGAGACGAGAAAGAGTTAAGTAGAATAAAAAAGGGAGTTAAAGCAAGTGTAGGCGAGATGGTCTAGTGGTAAGGACGAAGTGTTGCAAATGTGAGAAGCTATGTTCGATTCCTGGTTGTGTCGAAAGCTTTTTAATGTCAGGCATCGTTGTTAATTAATTCCACCCGAGACGAGAAAGAGTTAAGTAGAATAAAAAAGGAGTTAAAGCAAGTGTAGGCGAGATGGTCTAGTGGTAAGGACAAAATGTTGCATGTATGTTAAGCCATGAGGATTGATTCCTGCATAGTCAAACTTTAATGTCAGACATCGCTGTTAATTAATTCCACACGAGACGAGAAAGAGTTAAGTAGAATAAAAAGAGAGTTAAAGAAACTGTAGGCGACATGGTCTAGTGGTAAGGACAAAGTGTTGCATCTACTTTAAAGCCAGGTTCGTTTCCAGGTTGTGCTGAAAGCATTTTAATGAAGCATTTTAATTCCACCCGCGACGAGAAACAGTTAAGTAGAATAAAAAAGGAGTTAAAGCATGGGCAGGAGAGATGGTCTAGCGGTAAGGACAAAGTCTTACACGTCTCAGAAGCTAGGTTCGATTCCTGGTTTTGTCGAAATCATTTTGGGCTGGGAAAGGTTCGAAATATAATTATATTAACTTTCACGTCTTTTTCGATTACACATGCAGCTGGGAAAACCTGCTTTTTATCTCCACGGACGTCTAGTGCTGCACGAGTAAGGCATCGACAGAAATCCTATTGATCATAGATTCCAAAAATACAATTTTCAGACTAGCCCAAATTCGGGTCTCTGCTACAGGAGAAATTCAATAGAACATAAGGTTCGAAACACCATGCATAATATTAACTTTCACGTCTTTTTCGAATACAGAGCTGGAAAAACCTGCTTTTTATGTCCACGGATTCCCTAGTTCTACAAGAATGAGGCATCGACAGAAAGGCAATTGACCGTAGATTCCAAAAATACAACTTTCAGACCGTGCCAAATTCTAGTTTTTGCTACAGGAGCCTTGAAATTCAATAGAACATAAGGTTCGAAACAGCATAATATTAACTTTCACGTCTTTTTCGATTACACAGCTGGAAAAACCTGCTTTTTACGTCCACGCACAAGTCTACTGATGCACGAGTAAAGCATCGACAGAAAGCCTATTCATCATAGATTCCAAAAATACAATTTTCAGACTAGCCCAAATTCGGTTCTCTGCTACAGGATCCTTGAAATTCAATAGAACGTAAGGTTCGAAACAGCATGCATAATATTAACTTTCACGTCTTTTTCGATTACATAGCTGGAAAACCTGCTTTTTATGTCCACGGATTCTCTAGTTCTACAAGAATGAGGCATCGACAGAACGGCAATTGACCGTAGATTCCAAAAATACAACTTTCAGACCGTGCCAAATTCTAGTTTTTGCTACAGGAGCCTTGAAATTCAATAGATTTCGATTACACAGCTGGAAAAACCTGCTTTTTACCTCCACTAACAAGTCTACTGATGCACGAGTAAAGCATCGACAGAAAGCCTATTCATCATAGATTCCAAAAATACAATTTTCAGACTAGCCCAAATTCGGGTCTCTGCTACAGGAGCCTTGAAATCAGGGCATTTTTTAACTATATAACTGGGGGGGCCAAAGCCCCCCCAGCCCCCATGGTGGCCCCCCCACTCAACCATTTTGGCCCCCCCAGTCAAAATCCCTTTTCTCTAAAATATAAGCAAAACCCAGCATAA